TTTTTTTTTTTTTTTTTTTTTGCTACTAAAATGTGTAAAAAAAAGTCACTGAATTTTAAATTACTCTAAAAATCTAAATTTTGCAATTGTTTAATTTGTTTTTGTTTTTCAATTTTTCACATTCATATCATTGTTCATTTTTCTACAGCTAATATTATTCTTTATGCAGTTTAAATTCTTTCAAAAAATTTCTCAGTGTATTATTGTATTATACATATATACATAATGTGTTACATTTTGTTTATGTTGTTCTTTTTTTTTACCAATTATGTTGTGGTTCCTTTGCTGACATTGTTTTTTTGCAAAAAGAAAAAAAGGAAGAAAAAAAAATGAAATTTTTTATTAAATCGTCTAACTGATACAACGGTTTTATGCAAAAGTCTTTTTTTTTGAAATTACAACTCGTGGGTTATGAACTGCAAAATGAGACCAAAAAAGGAACAGTGAAAAAAAAATGGTAAATCTTCAGAAAGAAAATTGAGTAATTGATTCTGCAAAAAATACTGCACCTATTTTAAAAAACCAGTATTACTGCTGTTTTTTTTTGTAAAAATGTTGGCTGATTGTTTTTGATAAAAAAAGATATGTTTTGGAGCAAAAACTGACCAAAGCCATAAGTGCAGTTAAATGAGAAAAGCTTTGAATAGGCCCAGTAACCTGCAGTTTCTTCAGCAGCCTTTTCAGATTCTGAGTTTTAATTATAGAAGTAAACCAAATAAATATTTTATCAAATAATCACTGAGTATACCCAAATTATTAGAGCAAACAAAAAGCAGTATTTTGTTATTACCAAGTTTATAGTAAATTATAGTATTTATAGTAAAATTTTGGCACTTTGAGTGTCAATTTTCATTGCAAGAAGCTCATGTAATTACTTTTTTTCTTCTACAAAAATGAAATCAACCTGGCAGTATTTTAATCTTTACAGTTCATTTTTGCTTCTTTTTTTCTAGTTTTTTTTGGTGTTTCTTGTTCAAATAAAAACTTTTTCCTTTACCTAGTTATCATTCAATTAAAAAACAAGCTTCTATTTGATCTGCTAAATGAAGAAATGTTTGGAAGAAAAACTGGTGCAGAAAAAGTAACACTTCCAGTATTTTTGCAAAATAACAGCTTTCTGCTACTGCTTTAATTTGTGCACTAAAACTGACAACTCCAAAAACGTAAATTATGGTAATCAGATAAAAAAAAAGGCTTTTTAATTGATATCAAAAGTGCTTAATTTTTGTAAAAAGAAGCTAAGGAAATTATAGGTTTTCATGATCGACTATGTTTGAATTTTGGCACTTTGAGTGTCAATTTTCATTGCAGGAAGCTCATGTAATTACTTTTTTTCATCTACAAATTCTGAGGTTTGCTACAACTGCAACAGAATTTGTTAAAATTCTGACTTATTGACTGGAAGAGTGTAGGATTTTTTGCAAGATATTCCAGCTTTACTGTCAAATCGTCTTATTTAAAACCTGGACGACATAGTAAAGGCGTTCAAAGTGTACTGCAGAAGGTGCAAGAATTTAACAGGCATAAAAAAAAATTTGTTGAGATTCTCAATGGTACTAATGTGAAGTGAATGCCGGAATTAAAACAAGTTGAAAAGTTTGTGGTGTTAACAAACTGATCATTTGTATTTCTGTGAAGTACATCACCGAAAGTTTTTGATTCCAATTCAGTTTCACTACTTCAATGGTCAGGAAAATCAATTTCTTTTAGATTGAGTGATTTTTAAATCACTGCTTTTCAGAAAGTGAGTTCTTCAAATCATTTCCAAGCTTTACATTTAATGCCGACAGAACAGGAAGGTTAATAGTCAGAAGAAAATTTGGAATTCTGATAAGTCTAATGAGTAACTTCTTTTGAATAGTAGAACTTCTTTTTTTTTCGAAATTCAGTAAACTACTGAACGATTTGACTAAAAATTTGATTATATTCATTTGTGCAACTGTATAATGTTTAAGCAATTTTCTTTTTTTTCGACGTTAGTTAAAAGAAAAAACAGAGTGAAGGATTCTGCAGCTAAAAACAAGTAGTTTTTCTCAGCCTGTCCTTCTCATCTGTACAATACCCCTCTTCTCGCTTTTCTGATAATAGAACTTTTTTTTTTTTTTTGCTTTTAAAAGAGCCACTCTTCTCCTATTCAAGAAAAAAAAGAAAAAAAAAGAGAAGAACTATTAACTTCCGTCAGTTTTTAATATCTTAGCATATATAAATAAATTCAAACAGTCGTTGTCGAAACCAAAAGTTAGCAAGCGTTAGAGCAGTAGGCTTACTTTGCTTTAAAAGTAAAAACGTAGATAAGCTGAAATAATCTGAAATCAGTGATGACAGTCAATGACTGCTTTTTTTTGTGTTTGACAAGAAAAAAAAAACGAATAAGAATCTGTTTTTTATTTTTATTTTAAAAAAAAAAAACTTATAGAATTTTGATGTGTGTAAAATAAGCCCGTTGACCACAAAAACGTTGGGTATATACAACACACTGTCCGCAGTCCATCACCATTCAAAAAAAACGACGACGACAACGACGA